CTGTCCTTGTCATTGCCTCTGTGAGGTGTCTGAACTGGTGGCTTTGTCCTGTAAATAACTCTTTCTGGTCTTACACAAGGACAAGGTGGTGTTAAGGCCTAGAGCCTCCTTCCTCCTAAGGTGGTTTTGACCTTTAATCTCAACCAGGACATTGGGCTTCTATCACTCCCGCCCGCTCTCTTTACTGTCTGGATGTCGTTTTAGCTGCTTCCCACTGAATATATTAGAAAGACTGACTCTCACATCTATGAATCCTTTGATCCCTGCAAAGGGGAACCATTTTGCTGTGGCATAGACAGATCATCATTCAGACTTATTGTCTTAAGCTTTAGGTGGCACTCATTCTGTCAAGGCACAATCTACTAGGCCTGTTAGTGCTTCGTGGGCTTTTTGGCATCACACAACTCTTTCCTGGTTTGTAAGGCTGCTATCTGCTTTTCTTTTTACACAGTCTGTGAGCTTTACCAGCTAGATGTTTAGGCCTCATCTGATGCTAGCTTTGGGTGTAAGGTCCTTCAGGTAGCTCTTTAAGCTGCAAGCAGTTCCCAGTTTTCTGTTTATAGTGGGGCCTGTTGTGTGCATTTGGTTGCCCATTCCTCAGACATCCCAATTGTCCCTGAATCCTATATCCCTCCGTAATTGAGAAAAAAAATTGATTTTGTGCTCACTGGAAAAAAAAGATTTCTTGTAATTTAAAGAACGGATATCCTCACCCCTCTGTGGTTCATCTGGCTCTCAGTACTGTATTGTAAAAAAAAACTAAAGAAAAACTGAGGCAAGCTGGGAATGGGAGGGGTTATACCAGGCTGGTCACTGTTTTTTGTTGTTGTTGTTGGCCACTGCCTAAATCCTCCTGTATGCTGAAGTATTACTCAGTTTTTTTTTTGTGTGTCCCACGTCCCTCAATGAACTCCAAGAAAAGGATTTTATGATTACAAAAATCCAATTATATTGCAGCTCACCAAGTAATTGAATGTGGTGACTGCATTAGTTTTCATCTTTCAGGAAGTACAGAAACATCTGTTGATCCTTCCAGAAATGCATTGTCCTTGTCAGCTTAAAGGAAAGCACAAAGAACCTTATTTTTATTGTGTGAAGACTAGTCTCGTCACTTCATGTAATGGAGATGAAGCAAGTCCAGCCTGTTTAACAACAATTACTTCCTCCAGTCATTACATGTTGCCCGGCTTCTTGATTGGCCAGGCTCCATGCTCACTCGTCACTAGGAAGCATGGAGCTGGTTTCCCAGCCAATCAGGAAGTCGGAGGCCAGGTAATGACTTACACCCCCCCCCACCTTCCTGATTAGTTGGGAATATGGCCAAACAGGAAGCCAGGCGGCGTGTCTTTACCCGCCCCCCCCGTCTTTCTGGCCAATTAGGAAGCCAGGCTGCGAATCATTACACGTCGCCCGGCTTCCTTAATGGGACTTCCGGTATCAGTATTCGGTATTGGCAAGTACCGAAAAACAATATCGGTACCTGATACTGAAATGCCGGCATCGGTGCATCCCTAATTTGCAGGATTAATTGATTAAAATTTAGGGCTCATGCACACAAGAGTAATTAATTTGTGTACCTTTTTACAAGCATAAAGTACAGCGTTCATGCAGCCTATTGGTTGTTAGGATGCAGTCAAGAGCTTTCTGCATCCTAGCAACAAAGGACACTAGGGGACAATAGCCGCTTGTGTTCTAGGAACAGAAGGATGCTAAGAAGCTGGCCAATCGGGAAGCCGGGCAGCGAATCATTACTGTTAGGATCCAGAGCGCCTCCGGGTGTCGCTGGAGCTGAGCCCTGCATTTCCTGGGCTCACCTGCGGGATTCTCCAGGCAGCCAGGGGCTGCTAGGTGCCAGACCACCACTGGGTGGTGCTGGTACCTGCAGCTCCAGTGCTCACCTGTGGGTGTCTCCCAGCTGCCAGGAATCAGCCCATTAGATGTTGCTCCTGGGAGGGTATTTAAACCCTCTCTGCAGTCTGGACCTTGGCTCAGGATTCCGTTGCCTTCCCCTGTTGTCTGAGTCCTCTGGCCTGAACCCTGAGACCCTGATACTTGTCTGCTATTTTGTACCCTGAGCCCTGTTTCCTGTGTTGTTACACTGGTTGTATGTCCTAGGTGTTGGGGGTTACATTATTGGTTTATGCCTGTTGTGGATTGTTTCTGTTAGCTTGTTAGGTTTATTAAAATATTTATATATACCATACTTGCCTGGTCCGTGTGGTCACATGTGTTTGGTCTGCCTGTATGGGTACCTGTGCAGGTGTGGGGTCACCTGTGCCGGTATCCCTGACAGAATCCTGAGCCCACAAAACGACCAAATCGACCACACGGGAACCTGCTGGCTTTCTGAGACATTCTGGTGTCAAAATGGATCTCGAGAGCATGCGTTATTATGTGCATTTAGCATCTGAGGCGCTGCCGACAGATATTCCAGGGTTCCCCCAGAGCAGACCTATTGGAGTGTGTCCGCAGGACTCATTGTTTCATGGATATAACTGGTTGTCCTTTTGGGGATATCCAACCCCTAATCCAGATTTGTACCGAACTTGCTCTGAGAAGTGATGAGGGGGATGACTTCTCCCCTCCGTATACACTATCACAGGTTGTGTCACTAGTGTGGTTATTAGAGGATGATCCTGCCGGGTTTTTTGAAAATTACTCTAAGTTTTCAGAAGAGGCCTTGTTAAAATGTTTTGAGGCGGTTCAGTCCCTTATTGAACAGGGGGTCTGTGTGGGAACCTTTTCCCAACCCCTGCTCCTGAGGTGGTCTGACACAGGGGCGGATCCAGAGTCTATTCTCGGGAGGGGCACTGCCAGAAAATTACGTTTTGCTTACAGAATGGTTAATATTTTATTTCCCGGCCAACCACAATTAAGCCGGCCAAACAACATGCAGCCGGCTTCCCTGGCAATCAAGAAGTAGGTTGGCATGTCATTACACGCTGCCTGCTTCCTGATTACCCGGGAAGCCTGCTCCATGCCAGTGGAAGCAGTGGTATTGGTATTCAGTATCGGCGGGTACCAAAAGCAAAATATCGGTACTCGTACTTGATACCGAAAAACCGGCATTGTATCATCCCTAGTTTTGATTAAAACTATTTTTTTGTATTGGGACAAGTAGATTGTCATGAAATTCCCGTCCGATATACCTGCTTGCTCCGCACTGTCATTAACATTAGCCTGTGGCATCATCACTGTACATTCTCTACCACCAATTGGAGAGTTTGCCCTTGCATTACCAGGCGAGTCTGGCCTGTCAACTGGATCCACACGCAGATCCACACGATTGTGACGATAGAGAGTTCCATCACTGTCCACTAGATAGGAGCGTGGTGCAACCTTTCGCAGACAAGTACCCATTCTCCAACGACTTGTTCGATCTCCAGGCAGCGGACTTTAAACTCATGACATTACATGTTGCACCTGAGTCCAGCTGGCAGGGTTGGTATATATTATTTAGTCTGAGATTTACAAACCATTTTTGGCCTTTAGATTGTACAGCACCAATGCATTCCTTCGTGTAAACCACATCAGTGCTAAGCAAGTGTGCATTCTCAAGATCTGACATGTGCTCAACTGTGAGCAGTTTCCTTACTTCTGTTTTACTAGACAAACACACTCCAGCAAAATGATTTAAGGATCCATCCTGTCAGCAGACGGGTACGCTCACCCGCACCGACGGGTGAGCGTACCCCCTTTCCAAAGCCCGATCGGGGTTAACCATGTTGCCCATGACAACCGCAGGGACTTTTGTTATTCCTGATGAACAAATCTGCTCCCAGTTTTCCGTAGCAACAGTACCTGTCTGCCAGTCAGTTACACCTGTTCCCAAGGCAGCCAAGCAAGACCCCTCATGTCTTTTATCATTGCATTTTAGTTGGTTTTATTTCACTTGATCTCAGCAGTTCGCAAACCCCTTAACGCCCTAAGGAGTCTTACATTGTTGGTGTACATTGATCTTTTTATGCTTCGTTTCCCTAATGGAAAAAAGAGTTATGATATTAAATGCTAGGTTGTAGGTTGCTCACAAGAAAACAGTGTAAAAACAGAAGAAAAAGTACTGGGATACATTAAAGGGAAAATCGCATATATAACCAAGACTGGATACCCAAAGAGGGCCTCCTTATGGGTATTTTAAAAATACAGTTGCTGTAAATATTTGTTTTGATATCAGCCTTCTGTATTCCCCTACTGGGGCTGGGAAAAGACAATGCAGCAGTACAAGGAACTAATCTGGTCTGCTGTGGTGGTACCTGTGCGGTCAGTAAACATACTGACAAGCAGGACCGGATTTACCCTCCCTGCCGCCCAAAGACCGGGTTCGGCAATGCCGGGGGCTGCAGGGTTGGTTTTAATTTTTTTTTTAGGGGGGTGGCGGGGGCAGGACGGAGCGGCACTCTGATTACAAGTGTTCTCGGCGACATCGCCGAGAACACTTGTAAAGAAACAAGTAATTTCTCCTATTCTACGTTTAGCTCTGCTTGTGCAAAGCAGGGCTAAATGTAGAAAGTATATTACCGCCAGGCGCCCGGGACTCTATGTTCCGGGTGTCGGGTGATTCAAACCTGTGCCGCCCCTCTGCTCAGTGCCGCCCCGAGGTCGGGCCTCGGTGGCCTTGCCGGGAATCCGGCCCTGCTGACGAGGGGAGTGGACAGAGCAGAGAGATGGTCTTATAATTGTGCTTTTGCTTCTTCCTTAGCTAATCAGCAGGCTGGTGGTATATTCTTGACCAGGCTGTGTTACTACTGGTATAGTGGAGGATGGTCGACCTGAATTCAAGATTGGTTGATTTAGCATCCAAGTCCTTTGACAGCTAAAACTGTTCCCATGTATATGATTCAACCATGTACCTAGTTGCTTGCCAGGAATTGAGTTCTGCTTAAAAAATTTACATGAGACCACATGGTGTCATTGACTTTACTGACTGAGATTTTGTAGTGACTACATAGTATATATTTGTTTTACCGGAGGAGACTCCGTGTCTCTTTTTGACATTTCAGTGTTTGATAAATACATGACCATCTCTGGCTACCAGATTGAAGAGAGCATTGATCGGGAGACCTCGGGTCACCTTGAGAAGTTGTTGCTTGCCACAGGTAAGACTTGGATCTATTCACTCTCCTTTTGCATGAAACAAAAACTTGGGCAATCTGATAATTTCAGGTGTCATGAAAGCTTTACTTTGACACCATGTTCTGCAATTAGTATAAAAAAAGTGTGTAACTTATTACATTTCTGCCTGAGGAGTATGGTACTAAAAATAAAGGTTTGCTCTTGTGAGTGTTTAAAAAAAAAAAAAAAAAAATAAGTTTTTTTCCACATCAAAGTCTACAAATCCGACATTTTACATAACTTACTAAACAATTAACATTGAAACACAAACTAACATAATCACATAAGTACCAACATTAAAACAGAAACATATCATAATGTTACTTTTAATTTTCTTCTAACTTCTTGTTTTCCCCACTAATCGTTGCCTGGTCTGTATCCGCATAATACTAGCTTTTCTATTTTCTTCTTAATGTGATTTATATATTACGGTTTACTTTTATAATTAACTTCTCTTCCTTCAATTCTTTACAAATCAGTGGGTTAGTGCCTATCATAACTTGCTGCATTGTGAACCCAGTCTTCTGTGTATCCCAAGTATTATAACCAAGTATATAAAAAAAAAATCTTTCTACTATAGATTAAGTTCAGTGAATTAATGTCATGGGTTAGTCATTACTTTATAAAGTTAATATTTTGTGCATCTCCCACCCTATATCATATTACAAAACAAACATCCCTTAATACTCAAAGTGAGGATGATATACATCTATTTTTAAGTGTATCCTATTGTATTCTAAAGTCTTATCAAAATCACCCCAAACCTCAAGGGACAAACCGCATAAATAGTGCTACTCAAAATAAACTATTCCAGGCTAAGTAAAAAGAAGAGAAACCAAAGAGGTTATTTTCTTTTAGCTCTAAAATACAAAAATAAAAACATACTAAAGCATCCTATTCTAACCCTTTTCTTGTTCTCCTATTTTTCTCTAATTGAGTTATGGAATCATCCTATAGGGCACAGGGGAGTCAGTAATTTAATTATTTAGTTATGTGAGGACATCACTAATATATACTCCTCTGATTTCTTATACTTGAACCATCCCTTCCAAATTTCGCAGAACATTGTATACTTATTTTGGCTTCTCAGAAACAGTTCCTCCATAAAACATATGTGATTTGTTTTTATAAACCATTCCTTTTATTGGAGGAGCTTCTATACATCTCCAATACATTGGTATCAGACATTTTGCTGAGTTCAGCAGGTAGGGTATAATAGACTTTTTGTACTCCAGCAGTGACCCTTCACTATTATGGAATAGGATCTTGTGAGTGTTTAATAACTGATAACTATTGTTAAAGGAAGTAAATATGTTGTAAGAAAGTCACTGGTCTGTAATCAGAATTGGCAGTAAATGCCGCTTTATTGCACTCAAACGTAAAAAGTCTCTTTTTATCAATAGAGTAAGTTTTTCACTTTTTTAACCCCTTCATGACTGAGCTTGTTTTTAGTTTCTGTTCGTAAATGACTGACACACTTTTGACATGTTTGCTGTGTGATTCTTCCACGTCAGTAATATACTTTCTTACAAAGTGCACCCACACATATTATATATTGTTTTTTAGAGGACAGATAAGGCTATATATATGTGTGTCTAACGCCTCACTTAGGACAAATAAAATATTTAAAAAAAGAGGAAAAAACGTAAAAAAAACCCACTTTTTTCCCAGTTTTGATTTGTAGTAGTTTTTTTACAAAACCAGCACAGCTAAAAAAAAGTGTAAAAAAATAAGGGACAAATAAATGAATGTATTGATTGCACTTTTTTTTAAACTTAAAAATGTTATTTTATTTAATTAATTATATCAATCAGTCATTGTGAATTAATCTCACTATTACTGCTTGATAAATTAATACATTTTTGGTTATTATCAGGCTGCTTCAAACGTCAGTACAGCCGATAATAAGTTAGTGACCCTGATCCTGCAGCAGTTCAGGATTCAGCTGTCACTTAGGCTCTGTTCACATCTAGGCGTATCGAATATGCGCGTTTGTCGCGCAGTAAAAAAACGCGCGACAAACGCGCGTTTCAGAGGGCTACTTTGCTGTATCCCAATGGAAACGCGCAACAAAAACGCCGCAAACAAGCTCATGTACCTTTTTCAGGCGTAGGCCGTTTTGTAGTGTGTTCAGACGGGCTGAAATACGGCAAGGTGTGAATCATACCCATAGGAAACAATGGGATTTTCATGTTTGAGCGTTTTGTAGAGCGTTCGTAGAGCCTTGAATGCGCTACAAAACGTTCAGGTGTGAACCAGGCCTAAAGGTTTTCTGATTGTTGCAACAACCATCAGAAAACTGAAACATTCTTCTTTCAGGAATAGATACATTATGTATCTATTCCTGAAAGTGAAAGAAAAAAAAAGCCAGTATAGCTTGAGAGAGATATCTCTCTCGATCTATACGAGCTGTCAGAATGCTGGCAAAAGCCGGCATGTTTGCCGGCTCTGCTGTGACTCTCAGACACCCGATCTTCAGGTATCGGGTGTCTGAAAAAGGTTAACCCTTTCTGTAATGGATGCCTCTAAACTTAGGCATCCATTAATGAATGATAACCGCTGATTCTCAGCGGTTACCAGCCTTCTAGTGCAGCAAATAACTCGTCACGTACAGTGTACGTGACGAGTCATTTGGTCCCTTTGTGGCGGGACGTACAGTGTACGTCTCCCGTCACGAAGGGGTTAAACAAAACAACTTCCAGCAGAAAATCAAAAGTAACACACACAAAAAGGCCTACTCCACCTTAGGAGTCTAACTTAACAGTAGTATCTCTCGCTACTTCCTATTGGAGCGGCTATTTCAGCTTCCAGTATAAATGAACATGCATAGAGAATCACAGTCCTTAACCTTCTTGGCGGTATTCCCGAGTGTGGCTCGGGGTTAATTTTCAGTACCAAAAGCAGTAAGCCCGAGCCATACACAGCGCTGCACTTGCCTTCTCCCTACGAGCCGCACTGTGTCCTCCGTCCGATGCCGACATCCGTCTTCCGGGTTCCATCCCTTGCGAGCGGCCGTGTCGCAAGGGGGCGGAACCAGCTTAAAATTTAAAAAAACAATCGCAAACAAAAAAAACGAAAAAAAAATAGACCCAAAAAAGCAAAAAAAAATCATACCGCCAGGGAGGTTAACATAGAGTTTTTTTCTGCCAGACCTTATTCCACAGATATTCAGACGCTCTCCAGTCTGTCTGTATCCACCCAGTGCAGCATGGATCTCTCTCTCTCGCTCTCAGCTATTATCAGGTGCAGGCTAATTAATAGAGAGGAGGTGTACCTGTTTGGGCAAGGCTTAACTCCTTCCTAGCCAGGAAAAATTGCCCTTCTCAATCTCTCACTGACGTACACAGTCGTATACCGTGTCACAATGTGAACAGACTTTCTGTAAGGCCTCATTCACACTGCCGCGCATATACACGCGCATGTGCGTATTGTACCACATGCAAATAAATGGCTCCATACACATAGCCGCGTATGGAGCCGTATATTTGGGTAGTGTAAAAATGCACAAAAACTGAATGGAACCGAGATGCATCCGGGCTGCGCATTGCTGCATGTTTACGCGCGTACAGTTCATTAAAATTTCTATTATGAATGATGCATTCTGGGATTGCATATAGTGCACACATATACGCACATGCGCGTATACATACGTGCATTATACGTGCATAAATACATGCATTTTCGCAATGTACAATTTTGCTCTTGCGTTGTGTGTGAATGAGGCATAAAAGGCAGCTCACAATTGTGTAGTGCAGGCAAAGCAGTGTAAATTCTGTTTTTTATAATCCTTGCTTATGAATCAAGGACAAATAGACTTTCTGCTGGTTTTCTTTTATTACAATACTTAAATAAACCTAAAGTGTTTAGTGAATATGCTAATAATATTCTGGGTGATGAACACTAAGTTTAGTATAGGTGATTTATACACCCAGCAAAACTGTATTCATCAAGTAAACTGCTTTTTTTATGCTGCATTTTTAATTCCGTTTACAGCAAAGCAGTCAAGATGGTCTGCATTAGATGACTAGGATCTCTATAAAAGTATTGCTGTTATATCATTGCATTAAGGCATGTATTTTCTTACTAAGATCTCTCTGGGGGCCTGTTTACACCAGCCAATGCGTTCAGGGCACGTTTCCGTGCCATGAATGCACTGGATTGCATAAACACAGGCTCCTCACTTTCAGGGCGGGAGGGGGCATGGTAGTGCCATTCATGTCAGCGCAGACCCATTTCCCACCCGCACCGGAATGCGTGGTACCCCAATGCCTTGCGTTCCAGTATGGTGCACAATTTTTGGCGATCGGAGCGCACTGTAAGGCATGGAACCATGTACTGAACGCATTGGTTAGTGTGAAAAAGCCATGAGGGTTGGAAAAATGGTAACATTTCAAAAAGTGGTTAGTACTTATAAGCCCTTGATTTGTTTTCATTTATTCTGTATATTTTTTCTTTTTAAGTGAAGAGTGTTCGCAGCGTCCCTAGATATTTTGCTGAAACTCTGGACCGAGCAATGAAAGTAAGCAGACTTAATTTCTTTTTTATAGATATAAGTGACATGTAACAAGGACACACAGGAAAGGGAAATATTCTGTAACCATGCCTACATCAAAGGTGAATGATAACTGATCTTTTTTACATACATATTTTCCTGTCCACGTAGCAGGGCATGCATTCAACACTGTTGACTAATTTTGATATTGTTTACCACTGTATGTACATGGATTTCTTAGCAACCTTCCTAAATGTACATGGAGGAAGCTTAACCCTGGAGCTCTGCTGCAGTCCTGTGCATTATTCCTCCCTTTCAGCTTTCAATTTCTAATTTCAACTACTTATTACATCATCTATCCCTATGAGTAAAATTGGCAAGCAGGAGGCTGTTACTATGACACTTATGGAACTAGGGCCTACTAAAGACACCATGTTGGGCGAGGTTTCTGACTAGTCCACCATCCCTGGCATTCTTACCATCACCCTCCCCCACCCTGCAGTTTGGTGAAAAAAGAGAAGACTCTGAGAATTCTGTGCCTGCCCCATTGCTGATTTACACCTCCGGTGCCTTATCTGATGGTGTCCATGTTGGATGTAAGAATGCACATACTGCTCCAGAAAATAACCCGCATGGTTTCTCCTGAGGTGGATAAGCTGGCCCAAAACTGAGATCAGTGAACTTGCTGAGAACCTTGAGGCTAAATGTGGTGATCCAGTATGAATATTTCCTAGAAGGAAAAACATGCCTCTGACAAATGTATCCCGGCTCTCACTTCAATAAGAGGACTCAGAAAATATACATAGGTGACAGGACCTTCACTTTCACAGGGTACCTAGGTGACAGAACCTTCACTTTCACAGGGTACCAAGGTGACAGAACCTTCACTTTCACAGGGTACCTAGAATTGTAAGCTTTGTATTAGTTTTATCTCATGGATCTATTTTCTTTTCTGGCCCCCAATATACCAGACAGACTGGTGACTTGATAGAGCCCATGCTCTCTAGGGCCTAAACCGCTAGCTAGAGTAAAGAAGCTGTAGTACAGAAGCCATCCTTTTTAACCAACCATGACAAATCGGTTAACAAATATAAGAGTGAAAGGCTTCAGCGACCTATCTCTAATAACCCTTATGAAGCACAGATTGCTCAGGATGGCTATTGGGTTATGGGATTCCCATTTCAGCTCATAGTAACCAAAGATGGCACACTGAACAGCATCAGGGATCCAAACAAAGATGAAGAAAAGGGGTCTCCCTCCTTTACCAAATTAAATCCCTACCACGCAACCACCTAAGCCTTGTTCAACTATGCTGCCTGACAAGATATGGACACCAGTCAAGCGCATAGCACCAGACGACAACCACAGGCCTCGCAGAGAGCTTCCCTAACTTGAACTTGGGGGCATCGTCATATTGGTGAGATTTTAAACATGTTTGTCTTGTATCATATGATCTGCTATAGTGCTAAAAAGGTCTATTTGAAGGAGTGTCTTGTAAAAGAACCACATTTGAAAGCTTTTATATTATCGGCTCTTAAACCAACTAATGTATGTGTAACTAGTGTTTTAATCTGTCAAACTACATTGAAGCCAGTGTTTAGTGGTATTTTCCATATCCTGAGTTGCAGACTTCCAAAAATCTCTTCTCTTTAGAAAATCTGCTCTGTGGTTTATTTGAACCTACCTCCTACTTTTCAGTGTTAGATTAGGAAAGTATAGATGTTGCACTACAAAATACATGACTGGTCTGTGAATTAAACAAATGTGGATAACATCCTTCCATCGTAAGTAATAAAGTTCTTCATTACAAGCAGATCTTTCGCCCTAATTACGTGTTTTCTTGATTACAGATATGAAATTCACTATTGTTTAGTACAGTCATTTTTAACACGTTGCTGGCCTGACAAAGGGGTCCATTTAAACCAGTGGCATGGCTTTGCACATATATGAAATACATTTTGCACTCCCTTGGCTTCGCAAGTCCAAAGTTGGCAGTCCACAATAAAATTAAAAAGCGAATGTGAACATTAAGCAGAGAGAACTATATGAAGTACTGTAGGTGCAATGCCATGGCCTGTATTTTATAACAGATTGCAAAATGCAGGCCACATAATCGAGAAATATTTAAGAGTATGATGGAGTGGATGACGATATTGCTTTATTTCTAAATTGGGTCTTAAAAGTTCCCCTGTGTTCAGTATTCTATTCATGTGACATATCTCTACTCAGCTGTTGGCTTTGGCTGCTAAATCCAACACATTTAATACAACACACCATTTAAAATTGCTTATCATATGGAGGTTGAGTGTGGAGGAGAAGCACTCAGTATCTACTGGTGACTCTGATTTATGATGTATACTTATACTACTCCTTATTATCTCTACTGCAAAACATTGAGGTGAGTAAAATAAATTCAGTTAAATGATGCATATATTAACAATTAGAGGCAGAGTATATAGTGTGTGTGTGTGTGTGTGTGTGTGTGTGTGTGTGTGTGCAGGGATCCCAACCAGAAAAAAGTGATTTCAGGGAGGTGCCCTCTTTCTCTACCCCCTCCCCCCATCCGCGGGGCACCCCGCTGAAATGATTGTTGCAGATAGCAAGGGAAGCAATAGCTTCTTTACTATCTGCAGGTTGCTGCTGCCGTCAGAATAAAAAAAAACACAGCATAGAAATGAATAGCTAGATTGCTATTAGCTATTTCAATTTGCAATAGCAAGCTGGCTATTGCTCCCATCCTCTGTTGCTGTCAATCAGCAGAAGAGGACCTGATTGAGAACTTCAGGTCCACCTCTGCTGATTGACAGCAACAGAGGATGGGAGCAATAGCCAGCTTGCTATTGCAAATTGAAATAGCTAATAGCAATCTAGCTATTCATTCCTATGCTGTTTTTTTGTTTTTCTCTGACAGCCGCCCCGATGTCAGGGAAAAAACATATAAACATATAAACAGATAGCAGGGAAAGTTTACTCTGCTAGATTAAGCAGAGTAAACCTTTCCAGGAGAAAAAGAGGCTCCCGGCAGCCCGGGGGAGAAACAATCTAATAGTAGGAGAGTTGGGATGTGTGTGTGTATGTGTATACTGTATATAGATATGATAAACATATACAATATTTTTGCTGGCATTGTTAAAGTAAATCTAAACCCAAAACATTAGAATAGAATGTGCTGCAGCTCACCAGTCTTTAGATGAGGTGGCTGCTTTTAGTTTTCTTTTTCCAGGCTTTATATTCCCTTCTTTTCACCTGCTGATCCTGCTTGTAAAACACTACCTGTCCTAAGCTGACAAAGTTCAATCTACACTGAATCTATGGAGAAGCAGCATTGCAACACTAGTCTTATTATTTTGTGTGGGAATTCTCTTCCTGGCCTGCACACTTCTTCTAGAGAAGCAAAGCTGAACCTTTTAAGCTTCATAGAGGGTGCCATCACTGCCTTGATACTTTTCCGCCCTATAGCTTATGAATAAATGTATTATAAAATGTATGGCATGTGTAAAAAGCTGGGATCTGCAAACATATATTATCCAGTAAGCTTTTCCACATCTGGTGCAGTCAGTTTGTTACTAATTGTATTTTTTACTTTTGGGACAGAAGAGGGCGATATTGTATTAGTCTGTTAGGCTTGTTGCAACTAACAGATGCATTTATGAAGAGGCAAAGTAAGTTTAACACAGCCATTTCTTTTGCTAATGTTTGCAGACACCAGCAGCATGTATGAACAATTTTTTGGTTATAAAAAAACCTACTGATGCATAATCGGTAAGCAAAACGGAGATCTGGCCTGTTGCAAGATCTATGTAATCCTCTATGGCATTGTTTCTTAACCTTTTTAGGGCTGGGACCCCTTGGTAACATTTGCCAAGTTGTGGTGACCCCCAAAGGTAAAATTTAGGGATGACGTGGCTGCTGCAGCGACATCTGGAGGCGTGGCAGGAGAACTGACACTGCTGCGCTAGGAGAGAGCCGAGGAGGACTCTCACCTTGCACAGCGACCCACAGGTTGAGAACCACTGCTATAGGCAAAGACAGGACCGGGCTCTGCAGCTGGAACTAGAAGAATTGGATTTAAAGTGTGTGGCTATATAACGTATGAGGTACATACTCCGCAGTACTGTCACTGATAGGGATGGGCTCGGGCGTGTTCGCAGCTCCACGTGCCGAACCCGCCAGGAAGCTGACAGTGCGCAGTGTCAATCACAGGCACTGAGACATTGCCCGATCTCTGCAGCTGCGGACCAGGAAAATGGAATGCATAGCTAGAGGTGTGTTTTACATATTTTTTTGCTTGAATGAATACATACATACATACATACATACATATTGCACCCGCCCTCTGCTGCTGTCAATCACTAGAAGGGGACCTGATGGAGAACTTCAGGTCTCCCTCTGCTGATTGGCAGCATCAGAGGGCGGGTGCAATAGCTAGTTTGCTATTGGCTTTTGCAAAGTGAAATAGCCAATAGGAATCTAGCTATGCATTCCTATGGTGGGTTTTTTTTTTCTGACTAGGAGACCCCTGGCAAATCGTCATTCGACCCCCGAGGGGGTCCCGACCCACAGGTTGAGAACCACTGCTCTATGGTGTGCTGCCATACCATCCCTTGCACAATGTAGATAAGCAAAGTCATGCTGGCAATGGGATACATTAGACACCTATGCAATTTCCTATGACAAATATGTGTCGCTGCTTTGTGCATATGAGAGTTGTATATCAACATGCCTAAAGGAAACCTGTGCTTTGGTTATGCAGAGAAAAAGGCAGCAGGTTCACTTTAACGTCACCCTCCCCAGCAGCTTATACTCCATTTTTCATTCTTTCTCCCACCTCCTGGAAGCAAAGAAACTTCATATATTTCTGAGTAGATGTCTGGTGATTGGTTATGTGCTGTCACATGGGGATGAGTGGACAGTCCTTAGACCTATGTAAGCTCTGACTATGATGACCCAAAGTCTACAAAGGGCTTCCTTTCCTCACTTTTGGCAGCTGAATAGGGTGGCAGGGGAAGCGAAAGGGAACTTAGGTATGTAATGCTATTGAGGGGGCATTAAAGCCCATATCCAAAGAAAAAAAATCTCCCTGGGGCTACCTTCACACTGCAAGGGTTAACCACTAGTTATTTTCTAAGGGAGCTGTGCAAAGCACTTCTTGGTTTCCACTCCTGCAGGCTTCAAAACAGACACCGAGAGCCTCTCCCACCAGCCCCCCGCGCTTTGGTGGTCTGAGGCCTGGTTTCGCCCATAGCCCTACATTATATGTGAGATCACCAAAGGACAGTCCACACGTGGGAGTGTAGGAGGGACAATGTGAGTGCCAACTGCTGGGGAGCCAGGATCCGGTAGGTAAAAGTCCTTTACACAGACATTAACAAGCAGTTTACCCTTGCACTGCAGGGGTAGCCCTATTGTAACAGGAGTTTTTTTTCTTGCAGATGGGCTTTAACCGCTTGCCATCCACCCATCGTAAAAATATGGGTGGACGGTGGATGCTTCCCAGCAGCAAGTGGTTAAAGCAGCTTCTTTACTATAGTCCCTTCTTGTTCTATTGGGAGAAAAAAGTAAAAAGGCATACTGCCTATTACTCGTATCTGTATTTCAATCTCCCAAATCCCATCCTAGTGGCTTTCTTACCTTTGTGAAATGAAACAGGCTGGCAGTTCCATAAAACCTTGTTGCAGTGGCGGAGATAATATAAAATGTCATTGGCTCCATGTTATAATCAGGAAGACCTGACCCTGAGTTCGAAAAAAAACACACTTGTTCAAGTTTAGTGGCATCTAAATAGTCTCATCTGCAAATGGCAGTCTCTGTAATGGGAATCACTGACGAGTCACAGTTTTAAATGTGCAGGAAACTTTAGGGAGGTAAAAGTTGTGTTCCATACGGTTGCTCAAAGCGTATTATCCAAAATCTAATTTTCAGTTTGCTTCCCTGTTGTATTATGTAAAAAAAAAAAAAACTTGTTTTTAATAGAAAAGCTCTATTGGGGCTTCAAAATAGTAAATAGGGAATTTAAATGTGATAACAATTTGGTACCCATTACAGACAAGTAGCAACTGTTTATGGGAAAAGAAAGGCCACTACTCATATGGGGATATTTTAACTGTCCAGAATGTTGTTATTTCTGTTAGTGTTACCCAAATGATCTCAGCATAGATTTATGGATTTATTTATTCTGCTATACCCCATCTGTCTCCACTTTATTATTGTCAGTAAGACATTAACTTTATTAAGAATATAAATCAGCATTTATCAGCATAGTGCTCAGTTGTGGGCCCCATGATTAAGCAAAAACTGCAGAAAAATAAAATAAAAATCAGTGTTTAAAATCAGCTGGCATACAAGGAGCTAAAGTGACGCAGGAGCTAAATCTTCATGCGCACTTCTTGTTCCTTTTCTGCCCTTCAGCTGTAAAGGAAGCATTCTCTGCAGCCAACACTGCGCCATTGGTTATCACCTGTTCTCCAGTCTTTCACACTGCCTGCCTTCAGTGTCCTGCTCACCATCGGCTGCCTACATTCTTCAACAGCTCCTGCTGTGTGGATGTGGGTATGTGCAGCCTTGTCTCACACTGGATCATTTGAGTGGTGCAACATGTCTTTAAATAGACATTCAGAGGACAGTCTCACTGTAGTGTGTAACCTTGTTGCTCTGGGAAAAAATCACTGGTATTCTTAGAAAGATCCAATGCCTGTGCTAAGGATCTTGAGATGTATAAAATACATGTATGCATACACAGACCTGAGGCATCCTAGATTCCCATCTCTTCAACTGAACCCTAACTCTTCCAGTAGGGGTGCAGTAATGAAGCTGGGAGCCTGGCAGGTGGGCATGAGACCACCCACCCGGCTTCCTGATTGAATGGGAAGCCGCAATTTCCCAGGCTCTGAGGTTGCTAAGAGCTGGTGGGGAGATGCAAACATCTCTCTGCCTGGCTCTTAGAGGCATTCTTCTCCACCAGTACCCCTCTCCACTGATTATGCACGATTCAGCACGGCCACCCCCTCACCCCCATCATCTCAACTGCCTCAGGCATAAGGCTAGGGACACCCCTGTCCGTAATAAATCTTCCTTCTCACCATAAATCTGCACTATACCCGCGGGTGGAAGTCCCGATCCTGCTGAACTTCCGTGCCTACTTCAGCTGCAGCTGATGTCTCATAGACCTCATCGCTGAGGTTGCATCTCCATTCCCCTCTCATCCTGGTCAATCCCAAAATGAAGCCTTGCACCATTTGCTTTGTGATTGGCCAAGAGGGGTACGGAGATGCAATGACAGCACTGACCTACAGCTGAAGTGAATAAGGAAGTTCAGTGGGAGCTATTCCATCTGCAGGTATATTGAAGATTTATGGTGAGAAAAAGGAGAGGGCAAGCAAAGGCATTCTGGCAGCAGCAACAAACAGGTCAGACAGAGGAAATTTTCTGGATGCTAAACAATGGCCAACACTGGCGCAACTACCAGGGTCACATCGGTCCCATGTGCGACTGGGACCTGGCGAGTATCAACCACCGCTGGAGAGAGCTGTGGCGGGTTGGCCTGCTGCATGCTGTGAGCTGAAGTCCCTGGCGGCAATGTCTGTGCCACCGCAGTTACTGGGGCTAGAAAGGAACAAGAGGGCCCGGGCCCAGTAACCGCTGAGGCGTTGACATTGCCTCCTGGGGCTAGCCACTGCCAGGACAGTCTGGCAGTAGAAATCCCATGGTTTTCAATAGCCCTGGTTCACACCTGAGCAGAAAAATGACTAGCAGGAAAACGCCAGACACCTAAAAAGATACAGGAGCTTTTTTGCACGTTTATACGCAAGTTCTTCCATTGACATTGTGAGGCAGCCTGGATTCCTGACCAATCAGAAAGCCGGGCGGTGGGACATGACGTGTCGTCTGGCTTCCTGATTGGTCAGAAAGCCAGACTGCCTAGCAACAAGTGAATTTGGCTTCCTAGCCAATCAGGAAGCCGGGAGGCAGGTGTCACGTACCTTAGGGGAGTCTGAGTTGACGAGGACGGCCTCTCTCACAGCTCCGGTCCCGGAGCACCTGGATTGGTTACAGGGGCGCCGGGGCACAGAGGGGCAAGGGTGCCAGAGGCTGGTTAGCCTGTTGCGTCTGCGAGATGAGATGAAGTGCGTAGATCCGGGCAGGAAGCAGGATGCGGATGCACCGAAGAGGATCCAGAAGGCTTTAGATCCGATGAGCTGAGGAAGCTGGAAGCAGAACACACAAGGCAGAAGGATCGTCAAGCAGGCCGAGGTCATCAACGAGCTAGCAACGTAGTACAAGGGGTGAGGCAGAATCAAGGTCAAAAACAAGCCGGGGTCTTCAGGGAGCAAGCAACAACAAAGAATAGTCCAAGCCGGGTCAGTAACGGGTAATCAGGATACAGGAAATACAGGAACACAGAACACAGGAAGCTGACGATCTGACAGCATAGAAGGATAGCTGAACACAGCTTTTATAGCCCAGTTGGCGCCAATTGTTCAAATGACACGTCGGCGCGTGCCCGTGCGCACGTCCATGAAAAGATGCTGCTCCTATTATGGCTCTATGGTCCACAACAGGTGCCTGCGCATGCGCAGACGGCGACACTCGAACTCTGGCTCTGGCTTTCTGACAGCAGGTCATGACATGCCATCCAGATTCCTGATTCGCTAGGAAGCTGGCTTCAATTATTGCTAGGCAGCCTGGCTTCCTGACCAATCATGAGCCTGGGCGGCATGTCATGACCCACCTCCCGGCTTCCTGATTGGTCAGGAAGCTATGCTGCCTAGCAACAAGTGAAGCTGGCTTCCCAGCCAATCAGGAAGCTGGGCGGCATGTCATAACCTGCCTTCGGGCTTCCTGATTGGCTAGGAAGCTGGCTTCATGATGTGAGGCAGCCTGGCTTCCTGACCAATCACCAGGGCTGTGCAGTCTCACCAGGGCTGTGTGTGGTATAACTAGGGCTGTGCGGGTCTCACCAGGGTTGCATGCAGTCTCACAAGGGTTGCGTGTGGGAATCCCCATGGCTGTGCGATCTTATCAGGGCTGCATGCAGTCTAACCATAGCTGTGCGGTCTCACTACGGCTGCATGTTGGTCTCATCATGGCGGTGTGGTCTCACCAGTGCTGCGTGTGCATCTCACCATGGCTCTGCAGCTGCGTGTGCATCTCCCCATGAGTATGTGGTCTCACCAGGGCTCTGCAGATGGCGCGGTCTCATATGGGCGGGTGACCGGATCTCATGTGCGGGCAGTGGGAAGAAGGAGCAGGAGATGTGCGGCCGGACCAGCACTGTAAACAGCCGCCGCAAGGTCCCCAGTAAACGTGGGACCTTCCGGGAACCAAATGCATTTAAAAGTTTAAAGGGCTGGTATCGGCACTTATTATTGGCGCATTTGCTCAAGTATAAGTACGAGTGAAAATGCTCAGTATCGGGGCACTGATACCAATACCATCCCTAATGTAAATGGATATATCAGTGTGGCTTCTACATATTTTTGGCCAAAAGTTTGTGCAACTAAAACCTCTGATTTTAACACATACTGTTGACAGGGCTACTTGTTTGGTTGCAGGCTGGCTGGCAGGTTGGGGCTGGGGAATTTTTCTCCCCGCTCCTGAAATCACTCCGCACACTGAGGCGGATTGATATCCTCAGCACTTAGACGACCCTGTGCAGGCCGGCACTAAGACTCAATTATTGACTGCTGCAGCAACTGGTATTTCTCTTGCTGTCAATTCAGAAGGGGATCCGGGGAGAGAGGGGACTATATCATTATAAATTGGACTGGGCACCTGGGAATGGCTGCTGCTAAATTGAAAGAGCCCCCTCTCTGTCCCCGGGCGGCTGTTCCCCCTTGCTGCTTAGGCCCAGTACAGGAGGGCTGGCTCTACTACCCTATTGGCAGCCCTGATGTTGGCAGATCGATGGTTACCGGGGCTGGGCCACCTTCCTTTTTGCCCCCTCCTCCCGCAAGTGGTACATATTTTTTGCCATAATTGAGCATTGCAAGAAAGAGCAAGCTGGAAAGACAAGCTACAAGAGACTGCAGATATACAGAAAGGTGCTGGGTGATAATGTTGCCACAGAGTATGGGCTCTCATAAAGTAAAGATCAGCTGTCCATTACTGTTCCATTTACTTTTAACCCCCACTTAGCATACATGACCAATTTTGCTTTACTAATTCAGAATAAGCTTAGCACACCCAAAAACATAAATTATAGGTGAAGTCTAGTCAGTTGAGCCATCCACTAACTTCATATATCTCTTGGGGCTTGCAGTGGGGACATCTGCTCTGTACAGTTCTTGGCTCTGCTTCTGGTCATCTTGGAGAATTGAATATCCCGATTTTGCATGTTCCACTCTTCACAATAGGAAGGGTGAGACACCCTGTAATGGCCATGACCTGGGAATGCAAGCATAGAGATCTCATCCTCGGAATCTTTGGGAGCTAAAAGAGACCAGTAGTTGACATCCCTTGCATCCGATCTTTGCTCTATGGCATGTGAAGAAGGTAGGGGCTTAAATTCATAGCAAATGGCAAAAAAACCCCATTTAAAGGTGACCTCTTACTGTCTATATATCAGAAATGTCACACAGTTACCACTATTGTATTAGCATCACCACTAGACTAAGGAATTTATCTTATATCCCATACACATGGTCAAGACATACAGTATATGACAAGGCATTATCTAGTCTTGCATATAAGCGAAACTAAAACAGAGTACGGTGACTAAACCTTAAAGAAATTGTCCTTAAATATTGTTCAAAAATAAAACAATTCTCTTACTATTTGGTCTTAAGGGCCCATGATAATAATATTGTTGTCATATTCTTGCAACGGGAGACAAATGATGACAGTCAGGGTCCCGTCTCAGTAGTCCTTTTAGGACACCTCTATATCAATGGTACATGAACATTCAGAGTCACTCTAATAGATCTCAAATTACAGACATGGAGGCATTACTTTTTAATTGACCCTCGTAGAATCTGTGTACAGTAGTATTCTGCATGAGAAGGGCTTGAAAATGGTACAAAGGTTCCTGAATGAATATAGTCCAGGAATCACTATTAAAGAAGCTAACTATCTATAGTATTGGGAAGATTACATTTTACTTTCCCAAAATTTCTCCTTTAAAGGGTATATTTTTCTAAATTAAGATTTATTGCCCTGTGGTAGTTTTCATTAGTTTTGTATTGAATATATACAGCATGCTACAAGAGTCCTTTTAGTTTCATCGCTTTCTATGATTGCACTTTTTGAGGATGAAGCTATATGCTGTAATTACTATTTTTTGTACTTGTTTTGATTGATATTTGTGGGGGTTGATCAGCTACACATTTAACTCATTTTATACTGCTTTTATAGTTATCTGTCCAATCTCAAGTTCCAAAACTGCATTGCTTATATATGGTTATCATATAATACATTTAATCTTAGACTACATAGAAATACTGTATAATACTTTAATCCTGTAATAGTTCGTATTATAAATTTGGCAGGATCTGCCGTTTCTCAAGGGGGACACTGAGGGGTGTCCAACCTAGAAAAGATCAATAGACTTTGAATATATTGTTTTGGAAAATAAGCCTTTCTGCCTTACAGATCTCAACACTGACATTCTATTACTTATGTAGTGCAGACAGAGGATACAATTCTACTAAAACTCCTTAGTATAGAAATATTGAAAAATAGAACATTTCACACAACGGAGAGCAGATCCCTTCGAGAATATTCTTACTTCTTAGTTTTTCAGACTTAAATTGTTAATCTAGCTAGACAAAAAAAGCACAGCACAGAAGCAAAGAAACTCAATGTACTGGGACCTGGCTGGATCTAGGCATTTTCAACAGTTCCTAAGATGAAATAAATTTTTGGGTAATTATTGGGTATGCCTGGTGGTTAAATAGTTACATAGTTAGTCAGGTTGAAAAAAGACAAGTCCATCAAGTTCTATGGCATCGGTGGTGAGACATCGGTGACTGCAGAGGGTGTGTGCTTAAGCAGAAATTGGCTGGAGCCCTGCAGGTCCTGAATTAAAGAAACTATACTGTTATTGCAGTGAAAACACATTCCAAATTATAAATACAAAATTATACAGTTTTTTCGGTAAGGAGTACAAGTACCATTTATTTATTTTTCGGTACTCGCTGATAAGTGGCAAGTCATCACCTGCCCCTGACTTCATGATAGGCCTGAAAGCTGGCTCCATGCTCCTTCGTCACCTGGTGATGAGGGAGCTTGGAGCCAGCTTTCCTGGCCAATCAAGAAGCCAGGCGCTGTGTAATGACTCGCGCCTAGATTCACGTTTGGTCGAGAAGCTGGCCAATCAGGAAGCCCGGTGGCAAGTCATTACCTGCCCCCGACTTCCTGATAGGCCTGAAAGCCGGCTCCATGCTCCTTCGTCACCTGGTGACGAGGGAGCATGGAGACGGCTTCCCTGCTAATCGGAAAGCCGAGTGGCGGGTCATTACATGCCGTCTGGCTTAGTGGCAGTAGAGGGATGGACTTTAAGTTACTGGATAGTCACTAAATGGTCAAGTATTACTGTAAGCATTACTGTTCAACTGATGTGTACTGATTTAAAAATTTGGAGGATCATACTTAAAGAGAATGATGCTCCAAAACTCTGATACTCAGGAATGTGTATGTTGCCTGGTATTTTGTTTATTCCTCTGCAGGTGACGAAACCCAGAGATTTGTACTTCAAGCAAACTACATTGCACTATTTGTATATTTGACCTAATTTATACTATTACTACTAGATAGTCAGTTGTAGGGACCTACTCCTGATATGTTCTGATATGACATTGCTCATGCAAGAGTACCTGTCACTGAGCGGCTGATTTGCCCGGTGAGAGCCACTATTGCACTACCAAGATGTATCTTTGACAACAATTGATATGCAATTGAACTGTGAATTTCACAACTGTTATTACCTCTGTCAGTCTGTTTATATGTATGAAACTACCTGTTGGCAGTTTACCCTTTTTACCCTTCCCCATCCACTTTTTGCTGTAGGATGCCCAGCTCTTAGGAGTAAGAGCAAGTTTTTGTTCCCGGCCTATGAGGACAAGGCCATTTTCAAGTAGGGGGAGAGTGTAGCGCCCTCTAAAATCTGGCTTCCTAAATGGGACTTCGTATCAGCGAGTACCGAAAAATAAATAAATGGTACTTGTACTCTTTACCGGAAAACCGGTATCGGTGCATCCCTAATACTGTGTGTGTGTGTATATATATATATATATATATATATAATTATTACAGGGATATAGATATATATATATATACATTTATTTCTTTTCTTCACAGTGCAAAAAAAAAGTCTCTCTTCACAGTGTGGATATCTTCAGTAGCAACCAAAGTGCGGCAGTGCTCCAAAATTCACCCTTCACCCTTATTGGACACAGGGACATGCGGTCAGGGGGGGCAGGTGAGACAGAGCCTCACCTAGTATTATGAAGAAAAAAGGTGTCAGCTTCAAGTCTGAAACTGACAGCTTTTTCTCCATTCAGATTGGCTTGTAACAGGTTACACAGCAGGGAAAGCCTCCCCGCTGTGTAACCTATCATGGACAGGCGGCTCTGCATCCGGCTTTTGACAGCTAGTTAGGTTACTCAGCAGCGGGCTTCCCCACTGTTTGTGTAACCTAACTTGGTGAGGCAAGAGCTGTCACAGCCTCTACTCTGTGTTAGAGGCGTGAGCTCTGTGGATGGTTTGGGCCAATGGCAAAGCACCATTGGTCCAAGCTGTCCAATCAAAAAAATAAATAAATAAAACATGAGGACATCGATCTCGATGCCTCACCATTGATGAGCAAGTGAGGGCGAGGGAGGCTCCTCCCTGTCTCCTCCTCAAATAGCTTGGTTACTGAGCTGTGGCTTCGGCAAGATGGGGCGGTGCTTCGGCGGGATGTGGCAGAGCTTCAGCAGGCTGGGGAATGCCTCACCCAGCACAGAAGGCACGGCACATCACTGGCAGACTCACCCTCTGTGGTGGACCTCATATATTATACAAGGTAATGCAGTGCTTTAGTAATTTGAGGAATATATCAGCACATGATCTAAATTGAATGAAATGTAAAACTCCATCATCATCTTGGCATCTCATAAGGCAAATATAGAAAACAAGACCATAGTGTTCTCTGTTTAAAAAACGTTTAATACACACACACACAAAAAAGCACTCTCAAAATGTTTGCAGTTTATCCATGCACTAAATGAAAATCACTCAGCATTTATTAGCATCAATGTGAGCAGCACTGTATGTCACTCAGATTGTGCCTCAGCCCACTTCTGGTTTCCATTGTAATGATGTCACTTCACATACTCTGTCCTATGTGTTACGTCTCTACAACTTCCTTAGGGGTAACCTGAGATTCTGGCAAGCCTCCAAGCCTAGGTCAAGAGGTGGCTTACCCCACCTCAGCTGCAGACAGGCAAGATTGTATGTGAAAATGGCACAAACCTGCTGGCGTTACGTGGTTCATGTCCTAAACCTCATCGTGCTGTGCTTCCTGTCCAAATATTTAGGATTCCAAGATGCATGCCACTATCACCAGTTCTTGCCACCACTCTTGGTATTTCAACATTACCAGCTGCTGCCCCGTCTGCTGGCCTACCACCATTACCAGCTCCTGCCATCTCTGCTGGCCTGCCACCATTACATCTCCTCCCACCCCTCCTGGCCTGCTGCTACCACCCTCTCCTGCCACCAATGTAAAGTTGCCACACATAATGTATCCACAGCTTTACCTCAAAATTTCTAATGTCTGATGCACTATTATCAAATGGTCTCCAAAAGGAGAATGGACATGTTATTCATGTTGCATGGTTTGCGTTGCATGTGGTTCATTGCAATTATTAGGGGGTCACTTTCAGCAGCCTCATGTGTGGTGCACATGGGGAGTGGTCAGCATGTGTGTCAGCTACATGAGGAGATATGATTTTGGTGTGAGCATTGGTTCTTGCATCTGTACGCAACATGTAGCCCCAGCAATGGCTGAGCAAGTGGTCCATGTGGGTACCAGAACAGAGGTGTGGATGCTGCGAGTACAGCCAGCTGCCGTCATTCTACTTCCGATTGCTCGATCGCATTAGCTGAACGAACAGTGCGATCATTGACGAACGATTACTCTTCTCATTGAACGATTATCGTACGATTACGCACAGGTTTTCGAACATACTAGGTAGTCAAACGTCGTACGATTGTACAGTATCCACGGTTGCACGCTACCCAGACACTGCGCGATTATCGTACGAAAAAACGGTCGCATACGATTATCGTACGATAATCGTGCAGTGTATGGGCACCTTTAGGAAGGCGTGCGACTGTTTCTACTGTACGGTCGCACGTCTTCCGTCGAACAAGCAGGCTGCAAAACCCGCCGGGAATCATACGATTCTCTACGAGTTAGTGGCCTGCTTCTTCGACAACTGCCGAACAGGCCGGTGTCCGCACGCGCACACTGCCCGTTTGCAGTCATCGGAAGCCCGCCCCTCATTGCAGTCATCGCAAGCCCACCCCTCAGGGGGGCGGGTTTCGCGATGATCGCAAGTACGATCTGCTTGTCCAAGATGGGCAGATCGTACGTTTTTTTAAGTACTTTACAACCCTCGCAAGACAAAAGTCTTGCAAGGGTTGTAAAGTGTATGGACACATTAAGAGTTTGCAGCCTTTTCCAGAGTTTCAGCACTATTTAGGTGCCACACATAATACATCCACAGCTGGACCTCAGCTGCCAAATTTCTAATTGATGCTTCAGGGTAAATCATGTTCTGTGTCTCCAAGTCTGCAATCTATTCCAGTGATCTAGCACTTAAAAATATTTTTGGCTATTGTCTCTTTAAAATAAACTGCAATGTTTATATCCAGTCCCAGAAGCTGCCATCACCATCACGGTACTGATGGCACTTGTGTGAAGTACTCTGCTTTGAGCACTCCTGTCTTAGTGATGTTTTGTTTTTTTACTGGCACTGCAGCTGACACCCCCCTCTTCCTATATGCCTTGGGGAAGTGTCTGGTGCCAGGGACATGCGCTGTCAATCACTGCTGAATAAATATCTATTTCTTTTCTAACTGCGTGGACGAACAGCAGTGGGGGGAGATTGGGAGTTTGTTTTGCAGCAAGAGGTATCCCACACCAAGTACTTAGTGTAAAAATAGCCCTTTTATTGTCTCATAATAAAGCAGCAGCACAGCATACAGTCAGAAATGGCAACGTTTTGAGCCCACACCAGCTCTTTTTCAAGCCAAAATGCACAACGTACTTGATTAGGTTGTGTGTGTTAGTTTATCTACGGATTTCTCCAGAAACAGCAAACTGTAATATGAAAGGCTTCAGCAGCAAAATGGAACAGTGTATTATATTAAGGTATTGGGACTGAATAACTTGGGAAGTTTTAGTTATGACTATGAGAGTGGGTGTGGCTAAACCGGTTTGACGGTCTTAAAGTGACATTAAAGTCAAAAATATGTTTTCTTCCCCCAATGTTAGTTAGAGCACTTACCTTAAATGATGTCTCTTAATCCGATCTTCTTCTTTCCTGCCGTTTTCATCTGTCCCCCCAGCGCTGCTGCGAGTCTCCGATCCAGCGCCGACTCCTCTGTCCTTGCTGGCACTTCATGTCCCACGGTGTCTGCATGCGGGTGCACGCCGTCCATATACTTACCTTGTGTCTCTCCTCGTCTCCCGGCCAAAAATGTGAACTGCCCATGCGCCCTCCCTAAGATGCTTTGCGGCTGCCCGAGAATTTTCAGCTTTTCGTACGGGAGCGCGGGGAAGACACAGGTAAGTTTAAAGCGCTTTTTTGTTGTTGATGTTTTTGCTTGTTAGCAGTAGATATATGAACAAAAAAACGGAGGGTTTAATAACCCTTTAACAAGCAGTAGCCCTGTGAGTTCAGTAAGGATGTGAGGTGAGTTCTGTGTATATTTCCATGTTGTTTATCTGTGTCAAAGTCTTAGACCTTGACTCTGTAGCCAGTTATCTGACTAAGTCTGCAAGGCTGGAATTGTAGTGTGTGTAGGAGAAGGCAAGACGGGGTTGACAACATTTCCTGTGGTCATCACGATGACAGATGACCTTTATTTGGACCTGTTTTTCACCAACTCAACAGAAGGACTTGGCCTAAAATATTTACATACAATGCTTTCATAATTTTTTTTTCCTTTGCTAGGACAGACAGTGTTCAGATCATTTGGTGTCTGTGGACCCGTGACTCCTCCACAGCTCAGATGGATATATGGCAGCCTGCAGGAAGAACACTACAATTCATGTAAGTGGGGGGAATTGTGACATGACCATGTTTCATGTTACACTCTGAATATAGTTGTATTGGTGTAACATGAAACATCATCAGAAAAGTAAACTCATCCTTTAATTTGTCTTGGAAAAAAGATCATCTGCAAGGTGCCTATAGGCAGTGCTAGTCCAGACTAGTCTTTGGTCCTGTAAACTTTTTTTGAGCACAGCACATTATTTTAATTCTAGCTATATTCTTTAATACTGGCACTAAACTATTCATTATTATATTATGTTAGACATATTTAAATATGACTTAAAATGACTTTAATTTTCTGCAGAATTAGGTTTGAAGACTACTTTGGAATTGTATGCATGATGTGGTCCCAGCGGTATCTGCCACCAACTCATTGTTCTGCTAGTGGTGCATGTAATGTACTGTACTGAAAACATTTACAGCTGACATGCTCATTTTATCGTAACAAAGCAAAGGCCATTCTGAGCAAAAGGAATACAAAGAGAATTACATTATTGCAAGTCTATGGCTAAGATTCAAATAGTTATGTCAAACTCTTGATTGCAACTTAATGCATTTGAAATGTCAATTTACAACTTCAAAGAGCCAATTTAAATTAAATAATGTAGCGCTGTTTACACTTAAAAAACTGTAAAAATAAAAGCAGAGAAAAGGGACAAATATGTATCAGGTTTATATTTAATACAACATGGAGGTTGTTTATATGAACATGGATTGTGTATTTAAAGGGGTAATATGGATTGGGCGATGTAAGGGTTAATTTGTAACCTTAAAGAAGTAATCGTTTAGGCCAGCACAGTGGCTCTGATGAA